CGCCGCCGAACGCGCGGCGCCGCGCCATGGACCGCTCGCGCGCGAAGCGCGCCGCGAGGCGCGCGTCCGCCGCGAGGCCCGCCGCCGCGAGCCACGTGCCGTCGTCGACGCGCCAGACGCGCCGCCGCGGATAGGCCAGGTCGAAGCGCCGCGACGCGTCGCCGACGCCCGCGACGGCGACCGCGGCGCCGCCGGCGACGGACACGCCGACGACGACGCCGCCGCGGGCGTCGGCGGCGGCCCGCGCCGCGCCGCCGGCCGCGGCGGCGGCGACGACGAGCAGTCGCAGCATCGGAGCTGAAAAGGTCTGGTCGAAGCAAGTTAAAGCAATTAAAGCAAGAGGCATGCACAAAATACGATAACTAATGTCATGATGATCTGAGATGAGTGCTCTGAGAATGGGGTTAGGTAGTGGTAGTGGTAGTGGGGGTAGTACCCCTGGAGCCGCTGGAGACCACTCGATTCCACCGGAAATATGCTTGTTTTGGCTCTATCGGCCAGTTTGGATCTCGAACTCGAGCAAACTAGTGGTTTTGACGCTCAATCATAAATTTCGACCTAGTGGAGGTCGTGGCCGAGCAGCCCTCCAGCTGCCGATTGGCCAGAACGGGTGGTTCACAGGCTTCGTTGACCCTATGTTGCAGCTGTTTTGACCACTCATTTTGAGCAGGTCGCGACTCAGGGGTAGTTAGTTAGTACTACATGCTGTCTGAGGGTAGTCTACCGCCTACCTCTTGGGTCGAAGGTATGTATGTGCGCGTTATCCAGGGGGGCTAGAGGGGTACCTAGACGAGCCGAGCTAGCTGAGAGGGTCTGTATGCTCCAGAGTTAGCTGTATTTGTGGCCTGGCATCGTTGCCTTATTATTCTGGAGGTGCGGTCGAGGAAGGCAACTGGCAGCGTTGTTCTCGGAGAACGCGGAATGCGTTTCGCCGAGCGAACTTCGCACGCGTCATCGGTTGTACTACGTACGTCACGGTGAGTATGACTCGTCGACCTGACGCGTGTGCACGGGTGTCTTTTCGGCTGCGCGTGGGACCCAGTTTGATGATACTCGGCCCCTGCTGGGGGGCAGCCCCCGCCTACTTCAACTTCCTCCGTCCGAGACCTATCGGCCGCGTGTGCTCTTGGGCATGCGGCTTCTCCGACGCAAAATCTCCAATAATAATAATAATAATAAATAATACAATTGTATACGAGTCGGGCCCAGAAACGAGAAACTAAACGCAGCCCCATTTCCGCGGACGATGGGGTCGCCGCCGCGGCCGGTGCTCCGGCCGCGATCGGGCACGCTGGAGCGGCTCCTCACGCCGACGCTCGACGTCGTGTCCGAGGCCGGCGGCGCCGGCGACGCGTCCGGCGACCTCCACATGCACAACCTGCACCAGTTTTTTCCCGTGTCCCCCCGCTCCCGCCGCTCGGAGCGGCGCGCGTCCGCCAGGTCCCTGCGCATCCTCCACGGCACGGCCGCGGCCGTCGACGCGTGCATGCGGCGCGTCATCGCGCTCGGCCCCGCCGTCTGCGGCTACTGGCCGCGCGCGGCCGTCTCGCTCATAGCCGCGCGGCCGCCCGGCGCCGCGACCGGCGCGGCGCGGCGCGACGGCGGCGCCGCCGCAGGTCGAGCACCTCCTCGTGCACTACATGGACGACATGCTGCGCCGCGTCGCGCTCGCGGGCGCCGACGACGCGAAGCGGCGCCTCGAGACGGCGCGCGCGGCGCCGCGGGGCGCCGCGCGGGCGCGGGCGCTCTG